ACGCAGTAGGAAGGAAAAATAGTTTTCTGTTTGCAAAACAATATCAAACTTTGTTAAATATTTCAGAGTTGTTTCAAAAAAAGATTGTTCGTCAATTAATTGCATATTTTGTAAATAACTGTGCTATTTTGTTTTTCCATTTCAACCTTTTCCCGAGAAAAAAAGAAATCATAATATAATAGACGAGTATTTCATTAGACTGTGTCATGACCTCGTGGGCTCTTGATTCTTCCAGTTACTTCTTCATCGTAATTGAGTGCATGTAACACACCAACAAATGCTTGATGCATCCAATAGAAGTGACCTTAGCAACTAGAAAAGCCTTACCTCCCAGAGGGAGTTAACTACACAAGATTGCAACAATCAGAAACTTCGCCACCTCACACAATTGATTAGTGATGTTGACCGCTGTCGTTAATTTTCCGTATCCAAAACCGTATGCCAAATATGTATACATGGTCAGCCTCCTCTGGGAGCCAGAACACTTTATATTTTAAGCTTAACGTAAGGAAGGACAGTTTGGAATTCTATAATGTATATGAAAATGGTATGAAGTTCATATATAAATACATATTGATTAGAATATAAAACCTGAAGAAGGCAGAATTGTTTATTTTCTTTTTCCGTGAAAAGTGAATTTGCAACGTTAAGCTTTATATCTCATAAAGCTGTCAAACATTTAAAGAACGGTGCTGAGAACATTTCATCCTGCTCACAATTAGCATGGGATGGTTCTGCAGTAGGTCGGCTGTGGTGTTTGGTTGTGTCCAGATACCACTGATAACGAAGACGATGAACCCCATAGACTTCACATATCCCTAGGAAAACAGACAAGTTGTTGGTTTTCCGCCTAAATGAAATTCAAATTCTGTGTGAATGGCTTTAACCCTCATCAGGATCTACTATCTCAACTTCAAACATCGAAATTGGAATTAAGTCTGTAGGAACATTCTTGTTCTGGTGTTAATTGTAGCTGAGTATTTTTTTCTTGCTTTTCTTAAACCAGTAACCGCAGCTTTCTCCACGCTACATGGATCTGATTGATCTTTTGAATCGTGGGTTACACGTAAGGTCAAGTAAGACTTAGCGTTTTTATTACACATCGAGATCGATCGTAACCAGATATGCGACTTATTGAACTTTCTATCTTATCCCTGAGATTTAACCAAGGAATGTGTTAGCCACAGAGTGCGAATATGAAAATAAGCGAATTGACTTTCAGAAAAGGAATTTCTTTTAACATTGTTTATTTTTGGTGTCTTTCCCTAACAAGAACCGAATGATGGTCATTGGTGCACAATGATACATATTTTCCGGGCCTTATCTGAAATAATTTGTCGCGTACAATAACCAAATCTTGTTCGTGAGTACCATAAAGGATTGTTGAATGTTGCGTACTCAAATTCGATCCCGGGCGCCACTATATGCAGAGTTTTGATCCTTTGTTGTTATTGTGCACCACTTTATTCGGGGGCGTATCCTATGTCAGGTTCTATTTTCCAAATTTTATCTTTTGACTACATCTACATTTTACGGATGACAGTGGTGCCAATTTGTGTACAAAACGTTAATGCTTTACACGTATTATTTGTCAGTTTTATCGACACCTTTCTCCTTTTTACTAAATGTCATATGGAACAATTTAGGCAAGGTTTTTATTCTGGTAAACTTAAGTTCCATCAAATGCAGGAAATGGCTATTATGATGCATTAAATAATGTTAACATTTTGGCATTCTTCATTCACTTAGATTTTAAATAGTTGCTTCTTTGCTTTGTATTTTAAGTAATTGTTTTCCACAAACATAGATAAAGCCAGCATAGTCCGAAAATAAATTATTTGTGCGTTGACCACGAAAGTTAGATATGCACGAAAAAAACCAGTCTTACAGCGTCAAAGTCCTTTTCTAAGAATCATTCAGTAGATAAAACCCCGTTTTTATGAAGTTTGCCGATAATCAATGAGTCTGTTTTGGCGAGGTTTTAAGTAGCATTTGAAACTACCTTGCTACCTATATGTACTTTAGTACGAGCACCTATGTCTACGTTTGGAATATCGTTTCATATCGGTGGTGCTAGCCTAAATATATGTTCTCAAGAGATTCGGAAAGTACAACGAAAATAGAACTGTCAGGAGCTAATTGACCGCACAATGACAAGGATCTCGGCCAAATTGAGGGTGTGTTTTAGACGGGGACTCTTCTTGTATTACACATATACATGTATCATGATAGGTCTATCTCTTAATCCACCAAAATGATGCGCTGTAAATCATGTCAAGGCATTGTTTCACATATTATACCCTAAATTATAAGTTGATAATGAAGTGGTACCGCAGTATATAACTTTCACGATTTTTTGGCATCTAAAGTTACATTGTGTTTGGCGTATGCCTTCGTTATTTCGATTGGATCTTACAAGTAGGAACAGGAAATGTTTAGCCTTCAAGAGAACCATGATTCGCTTGAGATTATTTTGCGGGACAACGTTGGGTTTCTTTTTGTATTTCATCAGTCCCTGTTGTCTTTACACATCGATCCGAAAATATTTTTGATTGTTTGGTTTTTTGAAGTTGTAGTACACTTTCGTTCTGTATAACTAGACTATTAAGGAGTACCTAGTTCCGCCAACGTTTTATGTAGTTTTGGATGTGACCTTCATTCTATAAATAACATTTAGAGTGTTTTTTACATCAGCAATGTCCTTGTGTATGATCAATTAGGACTATTTGTTTCATATTTTGCTTCAAAATATTGATGTTATAATTCATTTTTGCAAAACGGTTGGAATGGGTTGTTTTTACATAAAACGTTGGCTAACATTATACGCAATCATGAACAAAAATCATAGCTGTTGTTTGGACGGAAAACTTTTATCAAACAAACATTAAAATCAAACCATTAAAATTCCTCAACCCATTACATTTGAAATTAAAATATATTATATGTAGTATTTGTCATTTAGTATATCCGAAGTAATGTTGTTTGCTGTGTTAGCAGTTTTATCACGACGACCTTTCGCGACTTATACAATTTAGAATCTCTTTTCTTTGCTTTACAGCCGTACAAGCGAATCAAGAAGATGAAAAGAAGCACTGGTATACAGACTCCTTTTCATGAATGTGTGCCAATGTTTGCTTTTCATGCAGTGAAAATCACAGATAGAACGTACGAGACCTGTGTCGTTATCTGTTTCAAAGTCTGAACCTAGTTGTGTAATGTGTCTTAAGCTTAACTTTATAACAACGGTGAATTTAAACCAGGATTATTTTATAAATAATATAACCCGAACAGAAAAGATAATCATGCTAGGAAACATAATTTTCAGCATTGTACTAATGTCAGACATTTTTTTTATTATTGACAGAATTTTTTCAGGAAAACGTTGTTTAAAAATTGCTTTTATATTGTATTAAGCTAGTAAGGCTGTCTATGTGAAGATGCCCCACACGTCATTAGCTTGGCGACACTTTACGGGGAAATTTGTATGTTTATTTTATAAAAAAAACATGTAAAAACAAAATCTACATGTTCTTAGACTCAGAATTATCATAATATGACGGATAAACAATAAAAAGACCGCTTTATGTCTGGTGATCGGTTAGAAATCTGAATTTATTTTAGCATCAGTAAGATGAATAATCTTGGCCCAGCTGTTTGTCTGTAAAAACCCGTGCCGTGTGACTTACTGTTCAACACATCCCTCGGACTTTCAACATCTGTATGACTCTATCCTCTAACACTTGTACTCATACCTTTGTTATCATGAGTTTGAATTGGGTCAACACAAGTTAAAGCTGATGCTAAATTCTTACACCCTTTATTATCATTAGTTTTGTTTATTGTTTATCGGATGAATGTGTTTTGGGATTTTGTGGTCAATATTTATCACATACATTGGTATCTTTTATGATACATCAACAAATGATACATATGATGTAATTAGCAACAAATGGCATGGTAACAACAACATTTATTTTGAATCAGCAATACAAATTGTTTCCAAATTATTATGTTTATGCGTTTACAAGGTTTCATGTGTCAGGAAACCAAAACAAATATAAATGTAGACTCATTGGAATCTTAATTGACTCGGAGTCTGTGACAGATATTCACGTGCATTCAGATGTTGGTCAATTGGTTGGTTTTGAGTGCATATAAAACACCTGGGTTGGGATATACTAATATAAGATACATCTTACCGACTACCCCGACATTTGGCATCAGACGTTTGGATTCGAAACTATAAATTACCCTTGAACGATAAGGTCGCGTATGCTTTAATGAGGGAAAATTACTTGACTACACCTGGTAATCAGCTGTGTACTGTGATCTTGCAAATAATTTGCTTATAATTTCCTGAATGTAGAAATCATATTTCTACCTCAGGAATACTATATGAATTGAAAAAAATAGATATAGCACAGCATTAAATACCTAAAAGGTAACAAAATGAATATGATAATTGTATAAATAAAAGGAAATATGCAGCATATGTTGCCAGTTCCTCATTATTGTACATATAACAAATTCAATATAGCTAAGTAATATACGTCCGGGTTTCTTACTTTTCTATATATATACTAACATGGTATGTCCGTTTCTGTTACAACTAATTAAGGTTGAAAAATTGGATGTTTTCTACAGACATACGTCAAATTATCTTGACCTAATACTGGCGAATGTATTTGTGAAAGGATAGTTACAAATATATTGAATAGCTGCACCGGTTCCGTAGTTTAATCGAATAGATCAAATAGAAAGTGTTAAGTAAATGCGAAATTAAAGCACACGTCATATATGTTTTTCTCACATTTCCTAATATCTGTCACTGTTACTTTGATTTGACCTAGATTTACCTGGCAGGTGTCTTCGATGAAGCAGATGACGCCCACTCTTCCGAATCATGCAAAAGTGTCCATGTAAAGAATTACTTTATTCACCTATTGCTTTGGTATTATTGAATCTGATTTTAAATAACAGTTTCGTTTATGTATTTTCAGGGCCCACAAGGACAAGAAGGACCCCCTGGTATGCATGGACGTGAAGGTGACAGAGTACGTACTGAAATTATACAATTAACTTGTATCATTTTACATGGGTTGTGCCGGCTCATATCAACGTAATCATCACTGAAAGTGAATTAACCGATAGCAGGTCGTGATTCTAATAATCGAAATTTAGACTGGCAATTTGATGAGCACGTATTTACCCAATGAATTATTTCTTCATATTTTTGACGTCGTTCATGTCCGAAATCAGACTTAAGGTTTATTTGAGAGGAAAAAATCAGAACCATAATTTTCTATAAAGCCCAAATCGAACAGATTTATGCAGGATTAAATCATAGAATACATAAACACATGACATCATACCTAAACGTTTTTGGATCAATGTTCCGCTATTACATATATACGAGTAGCAATAGCACGCGTTGTCGTAAGTTGTGTTTTAATTACACTTCCATTTGATTCCAATATGTCGGACGCTCTAGTATTTTGCACACATGTCCAAAATGTAATGTTTATATAATTCAGCATTGCGTGTTTCTCTTTCACCAATCTTGCGTACTTCTCGTGTGCTCAATAGGACATCGGTCTTCTGGTACCATTCAGATGGATGCAACAATTATTGGGATGGCATCTACCTAAACCGGCGTTATTGCTATATATCTATTTAAGATCCTCTAATTCAAAAGACAGTGTTATTTCAATTGTACAGATATCAGTTGTTGATGGGTATTTGCGACAAAAGAGTCAAGCTATGCATCGGTGACACGCCGGCAATGCGCCAATGGTCACTATTGTAATGCTAAATTGCTCCTAATTAACCGGGACCACACATTTAGGTTGTTTTACAGGTTTACATTGTTTCGTATGTCGGTAGCTTTTAGGCTGCACGTAATGTTATGTATTAATGATTACAAGCGTGTTATGAAAAACTATGAGAAGAATAAATGAGCTTTACACAAGCCAATACATAATTAAACTTAAATCAAAAACTGCATCCGGCCATATATCCCGAAGTATTTACGCATGCAAGGTCATTAGGTTTGCCTAATGAAGGCTTCTTGTGAACTCGCAGGTGCACATGTTACAAATCATGTGCTAAAACTGTTAGTATTGACTCTTCGTATGTGGTATTACCAGTACCTCATTCTCATTTGAACTTTCCTCACAAAACATTAAGATTTTCAACAGACTATAGGACAGGCTAAACATCAAACACACACCCTTACTGGTAATATAGGGAAGAACTGTACGTTATCCAGTGACCAAACTGACCTTTGGTCCACTTCTCATACTATATAAAGTTAAGTATCAAGATACTGTAAAACCACCTGTTCTCTATAAGTCTGTTACATGTGTTCTGTTGAAAACCTGATCTACACACCTCGCCGGTGGATTATATATATTATATGATATATTTCAGCCACATAAGCGTTTCAAATTGAAACAATACACATGGCTGTGTTAAATATTAACATTTGTGTGATAGGAGGTCAGCTCAGATACTACAGTCACGAAATAAAACCTGCCAACACTATAATTGGAAGGATTCAAAGGTTTTCATACTTCCTCTAGATTTGTAGAAGCAGTATCAGGACTTCCAAGATTGGCAAACTTCCACTGATGAAAGGTTTTAAAGTGTCTTCTGACACCTAGTTTACACAGCATTGTGCCGATAACCCGCTTGGACAGAGTATAGGAATAGGCTACCTTACTTTGGCGATGAGTTTCCCACACAAATGACTCAGCCCGGGTGGAACGACTTCAATTACTGGCCAATTTACTGAAGAAGGGCATATGGCTAGTCACTAGGCCTAGACCTCAGGCTTCTGGTTTAGCCTCGTTGTAACCATCTGTTTGCAAAGTTTGAACTTCCGTAATAAATCAATTCAACACATTCACTTTTAAATGCATGAAGGTATATATTACTTCAATTTTACCGATAAAAAAATGTAAACCAAGTGTACATTCTGTATCCTGTTTTAAATATGATAATAATGATATTTTCCGGGCGTGTATCTAAAAGATGTTGGTAGGCAATGCGCATTTTTGTAGATGGAGTTCGTATTAAATGCCAATTAGGTTATTATCATTCCTGCTTGAATTCGACATGTGAATGAAAAATTTGCAAATGAATTATAAATTTGTAAATCGTTTTTTTTATTTTAACATTGCTTCCGAATCTAAACAAATTATTCTTATATGCAACAATGCTAAAACCATTTGGATCAGTTTATTATGACATATTTATTGTCTTGTTAACAAAATTGGTACTTGTACATGATGCATTTTTATGATTGCATCATTTTCTTTGAAAAGTTTGTAGAATACAATGTATTGTTGTTTGATTAGATTTTTTTCTCAGTGGTATCATTGAAACAGGATTAAAAGAAAAAATGTTGATTTTATTATAATAGAATACAATAAAAATAACGATATGTTATCTATAGTAAACTCATATTCTTGTTCAGTTCTTTCTTTTTTTACCAGTTAGTGGGTGTTTCTCATCACGGCAAAGTGACATTTTAAGCAACTTTTATGCTGAATCTATGTTTCCAGTGGTAGCATTACTACTTGATCATCACTGAATATCACTTCTCATTACCTCGTTTCGAAATAGCAAATAGCAATCGTTGGGTAGGTCAGGGAGGGTTGCGATTCGTCGCACTGAAGAGTATTTGAGACCTAGACCCTTCCCGGATCTGTCAGAGGGAGAAAGTCACTGCTTGCATAGCAATACTCCTAGAAGGCAGCAAGAAACACCCCGCGCCTCTGGAGTCTGATTGTGTAGGAGGGACAGTATCATAGACAATTTGTCAAGATGAAGTTTACGTGTGTACTTTCGTGTTTATTCGTTCTACTCCTCATAGCTAATGTTAATGGATTTCATAAAAAGAAGGAGCGAGAGGAAGCTAGACGAGTAAAGCAGGCTGCGAGAGCAGCTAAGAAAGCTGCCGCTAGAGAAGCATCATTATTAACTAAAGCTGCAATAAAAGAGGCTGAGATTGAAAGCATAGAATCCGAAGTTGAAATTAATGAGTCGGAAGTTGAAATAAATGACGCTGAAGCTGATATTAAAGAAGCTGAAATCGAAATAATTAAAAAAAAAAATGATAAAGAATTAGCTGATGATATTGATGATGGTGAAGGTTTTGACACTGAACTTATGCAGGGTGACCAAGGGGAGCCAGGGCCGATTGGACAACCCGGAATACCAGGCATGGACGGCAGACCTGTAAGTATATGATTTATACTCTGTGTTTGTACATATTCATTAACGAATCGTGTCATTCTTATGTATAGGATTCAGAAACCTATCCAATATGACACCCTCTGGGATACTATATATTGGTCAAAACAGAATAAATAGGGTTTATTTGGTATTTTCATTCAAAATGTCGGACTAGAAAAGAGACTGAAATACTCATGGGTCATATTAGACAGGTTTGTTTAGATATCCAAACCACATCGTACGTTACAATAAATATCAGTATTTGGACTGTATTTATGAAAGATTTCAGGTAAATTGCTTGAAGTCCCTGTAGAAATAACTTCAATCAGGTAAATACATATGCAATCTAAACCAAACGAAATTTAGAAAGGGGTATCACATCTTTTCATTTCATGATAAATTACATGAATATATGAGTACGAACAATGTTGGTCTTACTGCCAGGCCTTGTGTTTTTATAACACCTGGGAATATTATTATGTAGGAACGTCGTCCACGACGCAGCCATATATATAAATGTTATGTAAGAGTTTTATATGCATTACTATAACGCCTAATATATTTGGTATCATAGATCCCAGTAAGTCTATATAAAAGAAAGTTTTATTATGTTATAAAAGCTTGAAGTAACTTAATACATTGCATGGATCATATTGAAATGCTTTAGGAAGTCAAGACATGATCACCCTTGTTAGTATGTTATAGACAGAATGTTATCGCTCAGGGAGTCTTAATTAAAACAGAGTTCCGCCTATGATATCTATATTAAGAGTACTGTTTCACATTGCCTTGTTACTAAAAGATACGCGAAAAGAATTGGCAGTTGGTTTAGATACTTAAAAGTCTTTACTATATCGAGGGCTAGCGAGCCAACAGAGCTAAGGTGTACTAAGTGATATCTAAATCCGATACGTCAAATACACAATGTTTTAATATTGAAACAGCAATTTTGAAATATCACGTAACGTATCATATAATACATATTGAGTATTTTTATGCAGCTCATATTTTCCTTTTTAAATTAGTATTACTTTCCAGTAGATTTGTTAAATTTAACGAAGTTGTCCTCCAGCTTAAGGAAGGGATGTTTTAACAGTAACAATGTATATAACAAAATATTTACTATAACTGTATTTTTTGTTATCAATATATGTACCTTTAAGTAGACGTTATCGTTAGGCAAGCAAGGAAGCATATATCGTGAAAGTATGTGAAGTGGCCATTTAACCCCTGATAGACACAAAAGGGGATATCATTATCTAACAGCAACTTACACCAGAGCCGACGAGATCTTTATCAAAGAGAGACTTGAATGTATAGTCTGTGTTATCTAGATCTGTTTCACGCTTGCTTTGATCAAATGCTCATTGCCAATGATTGCAGTCCAGATGCTTGGTCTAAAGGTCAGACTCTCACAGATACAGAATCTCCTTGTTTGATTTCAGAACCACAAAAAAAACTGTCTCTGTCTTTGTCCTTATCCCTCAAGTAGTAATTGGCTAGATTTCAAAACTTTATGTTGATTTTTACTGCGAACAATAAAGATAGAACCAATGAGTCTTCATTGCATTGTCCTGTATTCTCTTTTAGCAAATAGGTCACCTCCAGTGCGCATGACGAAATGTGCAGACTGTGTAACATCAAATACAGAGGGGACGTTACGCCGACTGATTAAGATTTGGGCCCTCCCACTTAAGCCTATCTACCAGTTAAACGTTAGCTTAATTAACCATGTAAAACTTATTTAAAGCGCCTGAGGAAAAATTATACAAGTTTCTGTTCTTCAAACAAGACAATCTTTTCTTCCCCATTGTCTTATTGACGCTTATATAGAAAGTCATACCATATGACGTCATTTTTAGCATCTTTGTCCTTCATGTCATGCTAATTTTCTTTTCTTTTTCAAAAGAGGGAAACACGTCATTAAATGAACGATCGGTAGATTTCTCTATTGTGTGAATGTGGGAAAAGTACCTATCCAAGAATTACGGATTCTAATTTGTTAAATTATATCATAAATGGTATTTGGAGAGGTTAGTAATGGTCAAGAAAATATATATATCCATATAATTAAAGTCTCTATAATAATAACACGAGCATTTCCGATAATAACACTCAAATGGAAGGTATTTTCTTCCATTTTTGATTAACTTTTTGAAATACAACCTCCATTCCTGTTAAACCCTATCCCATATCAGTGCAATAAAATAATTCTTGCTCTTTGAAACTGACAATAGTTTTTTTAGTTATCTTAATCCTGGCGAAACGCTATCCGTGGGCGTTGCCAATTTCCAAAGCCCCTTGCCGAGGGATTAAAGACGATCGTGTGTGGAACATTGTATTGGAACCATACGTCCCACCTCTTATCTGCGATCAGTCACCGGAAGCAACCTTAGCCAGGGGAGGTCACGCTGATCTGAGTACGGCGATTGCGAGCAGTCCAGTAACCAACTCTCTCTGCGATAGAGAAACTAATTGGTTAATTTGTCGGATAATTTGGCGGAACATGTTAAGGGAGCTATAGAAAGTACTTTTTGCCGAGATGATAGTTCTATCATCTTCGAAATCTCGATGTAGCCGGATTCGTATCAGCATATGGTCTTATTTCGTCTTTAGATATAATAAGAACCTTTTTTCATCTTAAGCTCACACTCCTAGTGGTTTTAACTAGTTCTACTGAAGCTACATTGCATAATGAAATTTGAAACTCTTTCGCTATAATATGTAAAAAAAAAAAAAAAAAAATGGAGAATCGGGTATTGTAAAAACTATTTTACCAAACCGATAGTATTGGGTTTCACAAAAAGGATTACGACTATAGACACCTCCAGGTGTTCGGCATTGTAAAAAGAACATAGACCCCTACTACATGTTTAGTGAGTAAATATATATGGGATCCCTATAGAACTGTGTTCTCCGCTTAGGGACACAGAAAGGGACCAACATAAATCTACTGCACTTATTGCAACATTTGTATCTTTATATTTTCTTTCTACTTTCTGAAAACATGCTTCTTTCCTGGCGTCTTGCTTAACAATACTTCAGTTTTTGGGACATACCAAATTCCTTCAAAATGGTAGTTGTTATTCCCTGTTCAACGTTCAGTGTACCGCATGACGGTTAATCGCAACAACTGGTTAACATGTTGTCAGTAAAGTGTGACTGGGTACAGTGTTGGGTACATTCAGCATTGTATTCCCATGAGGTAGTACTCTTAAGTCGGGATCAAATCCACTAGATGAAAATAAGGCAAATACCGCATTCAGTACACATGCACGCATGCATGCATTACATATCACGATTTAGTCACATATGTCAATAGATTGTACTAGCATTATTTAAAGTTCATCTCCGATTATCTATTTATAACAATGTCTTTTTCTTAATCATTGGTACAAAATATTACTTTATATTATGCTACACGACAAATAATGCACGTATCCCATTTTAGGGACCTGAAGGACCAATGGGACCAATGGGCAACCCGGGTCCCCAAGGATTGAGGGGCGCACCAGGACTTCAGGTGGGTACAGCACATATTTTCTCATCTATAGAAACGAGTTTCATAAATCCGTTTCATTTTGAATCGATGACGCCTCTATGTTTTGATCTAAGACAAAATAGCATTTTTCTCATTTACATTGCAGATTTCTGTAATTGCTCTTAAAGATGCCTGCGCGTATCAGTCGGTTTTGTTTAATAAATTAGAGATCAATAAAGAGAAAAACGGCCAGTACTAATGTATTCTTAAAATAAATTGTTATAATTTGATATATTGTTGTTGATATTATAATACAGATGTTTCAATAACACCTGTTGTACTTTTAGGGACAACCCGGTCCACCCGGACAGGATGGTGTTTTCAGTGGAGATCTGGTGAGTGTTTCGTCACTGATGTCATTGTCACGTGACCATTTTGTCGACATCATATTTTTATCAAATGAATTTTTCATATTCATAATAGGTACAATTTCTTAATTGGTGATTTTTTCAGAAGTTACCTAACGATTTATACCATGTCATTGACGTATGTGCATATGCGACTTCTTTATGGGTTTTTTTAATCAATTATTAAATGCATTCATTTTTTTTTTAATTATTATTTACACTTTTCCTATTAAAATTGGTGAAGATTCTTGATTGTCAGTTTTTATTATTATTATTTCAATGGAAATGGTTTCATAATACAATATTTTTTGCAATTACATGGTAGAAAAAGATATATTAACAGATAGTTAGCATACTACTGTATATCTTACTATTATCCAATCAAAAGTTGTATCTTTTCATTCATTGTGATGCACCTTGTAGTCATTGATCATTTTCAATACCATAGTAGTTATGTATATAATTTATCTTACGAACTTTTAAGTATAAATATGAGAAACGTTGTGGCACAGTACTAATTCATTTTATCCCTCCACCTTGAAGAGTGCTTATTACGCGTCCCTTAACAACCCGGACAGCCAAGGACAGATGGGACCACCGGTAAGTTTATGTAAGCATGGACCACCAGGACACACGGTAAGCACCAACCACAAGTCGCCGCCGGTTACCCTGGCAACTTAGCAGGTCACATCCGTCACTTCTTTGTCTCGACATGTACGACATTTAGCATGAATTGTCTCCCTTGTATACCTACCGGCATAGTTTGGCATGCGTTTTCCTACTTAATTTCCTACTAGCCCCGGTTTCTTATATCGCAATATACAAGATGGATGTTAATTTGATATCGTTATAGTTTAACCTGTAGCAGTAAGTTTACCTTTGTCAGTTATAGCACATTAAGATTAATAAGACCAAAGTGTGACCTTGAATCCGTTCATCATCAATCCAATCCAGATAACGACATTATACTCAAATTATATTATTCAATACATCCAGGTATATATTCTCCATGTACACAAAGAGACATGTAGCATGCATGTATTTTATTTCAATTACATTTTGCACCGATGTATGTACGGAAATTGTATCATCACAACATTAAAAGCAGCAAAACGAAAGACATTCAGGAATTCTGCCTACGCAGCTTACGAAATACTGCAAACAATGTAACCATTCATACAAAGTAATCTTCAAGAGATGACATCTTCTAAGTGTTATATCTATGTACCGCCTGTTATCAACTACGTCTGCGTGGGAAGGACATTTTTTTTCTCCATCGCTTTCTTGCTTGGTTAGGTAACATTACAAATATCAAAAATATATTAAATTGATAAATGTTTTGCGGAATTTGATAATAACATTTTCGGGAAATGATAAGGAGTACACAATTATAGCGATGTAGTCTAGTTTGGTGTTAACTTTAACTAACGTATTAATAATGTGCGGTATTAAGTAGCACAGTACTAATAAAATATTAATGTCAACGTTTCAAACAAATAGTTGGTGAGTAAAACGGAATATATACATATTGTATTGCACACAAAGGACAACAGGTAATTTTACACGTATGCATGTGATATTTCTGTCAAGTAGCAAATATTCGTGTTAATTTTTCCATTTATACATCTTTTTGGGATTTTTTCCCATGAGTTCTTTTATCTTGTTTATTTTATTTCATTTCTTCCATCTGGACTCATTTCGTTGTACACGTTTGTAAGCATGATATGTACTTTATCTAAGCATTCTTTGCTACGCTTAAGAACAATACTGTTATGCATACTTCGAATTTACTTACATTTTCAATAGGTTGAAATTTGTTTAGTATTAAATATGTACCATGTAACTGAAAGAATGTTGATTCAGTAACACTTCAACATGTGGCAATGGAAATGGAAAAATAATTTGGAAACTTCAAATTCAAAGGAATAAATATCTGTTTCGCGATCTTTTTAAACTGATGATAAAAGAAAATAATCGAGTAACGTGTATACAAGAACAGCAACTATATTATATATCATAGTGATTCGTCCAGAAATAATCTGACACAGAATAGACGATTATAACAAGGATGCATCAGTGGTTGTGTTTCTACTAATGACTGATTCTATTGAGTTCGTAATATCTGTTTTTATATCTGATTAAGGGACCAACAGGACCAATTGGTTCGTCAGGAATAGTAAGTAGCCTTGCTTTTCATCTATGTCTGTGGTACATGTAACGTGAGTGTGTGGGCTTCGCCTCCTGTGTGTGTCTCTTTTGTTTACTAGCTCGTTACTGTGTTCACTTCAAAAGGCAGAAAGGGCAGAACAACCACAACTGTGTATTTCGTTATATCCGTGAAATAGTATCAATGTCGAAAATTTCATTGAGCAGTAATATATATCAGCTAGAATTAGCAAACAATATTTTCTATATTCTGGATAGCAAAATATGGCTAAGAATAATACAGCTGTTATATTTTATGGTGCTATTGTTGAATAAAAGTGCATATATCGCTTGCTTGTTTATCATATAACGATCAGCTACCTATAAAAACATCTATTATATAACAGTGTATCAATCTTGCAATAGCTTTATTCTTTAATCGGCTCAAACAAATTGCATGCACCGCATATTTTTTTCAATATGAACGAATCTTGATATTGCAAAGTTTATGAACTAGCGTGTTCATGCTCGTAATTATATCGCTTTTATTCCTTCATATAATATTAATATTTCATATGCTGGTTTCATCGCAGCTTCACAATTACAAACATAGATACATATCTCGCTCTTTTGCAATTGGAATAATATTTCACACTTACTTAAAAATGCCTGTATCACGTACAATCTTATGTATTTATAACCAATCATGACGCTGGACGTCATTTTCACGGAATCACATGTTTTAAGATATAGACAAGCAGTTTTACGTCTGTTTTCTCAAGACTTACGCAGAAATAATGATCCATACAAAAATTGTCGCTTTTACACTATACACATGAAAGGAATATTTCTTTTAAATGTTTAAATGTTTTTGAGAAAAAATAATTGTTATCTGATTATAATTAATTGATAGTATTAGCGAAAAATAATGCTTTTTCATCATTTCGCAATTGATGGTGGTTTATTTAATTAGATTAGTGATTAAGATACAATGCTTCAGAAAATGAGTTACGTAATGATGTATACTTTGTGGTAAATAATTGTCTGTGTGTGTCTTGTTCTGTGTTACAGTGATGCGTCAGGTCAATAATTATGTATGTATATGTTATTGGTATTCTATCCATCATTGCATCATGCTACACTGTATCAGCAGCAGACCTGTCCTATTAAGCATCTAGTATATTACATTGTGCACAACTGTTCATATTTTCATTGACGTCAGATAGTTTTTGTTACTTTCGTTTTCCACAACAATGGATATTTTACAGCATATTTCGAAGTTAACACCTATTTTATTTTTACATTTACATGTATGTTTAAACTTAGAACGAGTTAAAGGTGTTGAAATGTGTATTGTTTCGCAATTGTTAACACGAAAAAATGTCTATAAGTATTGTTGATTAAGTACACGAATCTAATTTATATATCTATACTAATCTTTACACGAAAAACCTGTGTATCTTTACGTTAAAAACTTAAGTAATATATGTATATAAAGTTCAACAGAAGCGATTGACACTCGTAAAAGTGCTGTCATCAGCGTTTCTATAACAAATTAACGATAAAATATAGCTATTAAAGCTACAGTTCAGAACTGTCTTCATGTATTTCTGTAATTAGAATTTGTAATTGTAATTGTTGTCGTGTCTGAATTCCTAGCATTTATCCGTGCATACAGCAGATAAGAATGTTTTGGAAGGAGATTCGAACGCAAAAACCGCCCAAAATACTCCAAATACGTATTCAGACGTAATCAAACAAGGATATACACTTTTAATTATTCTATTACTTATTTTGCTGCAAAAATTAGCATGGGTAAATAAAGATTTTATCTTGACTTTGTGAAAGTTTCCCGGAATAAAGTAGCGCAACGTTTTATAATCTACAGTATGTAACTGGTATGAATCATTGAAATATGACGGTATGCAATTAATTCAATCGTCAATGTTGTCGTTACTTCCTTTGAGAACCTGAAAAAAAAAAAAATGAAAAACTCTACAATTACAGACATATTCTACATGTCGACTTCACTCTTTACTTATTTTAAGATGATTTCATCGCTGTTGATTAACTCTCTTCCTGTCCTGTCCACAGCCAGGAGAACGAGGTGCGCCAGGTGAGCGGGGACCATCGGGAGCCACAGGAGCACCCGGTGTGCCCGGGTTATCTGGACCCCCCGGCCAGGCCGGCACCCGAGGTTTCAGGGGCCAGCCTGGTATGCCAGGTATTCCAGGCCTTCCCGTAAGTACACGAAGAACATCTAACATTTGTTTCGTGTCCTTTGAGATTTATGAAATGTTTTTGTTTTAATTTTAGCAAATCTCCAAAGAGTTACAATCACGAATCTGACGCAAAATTTGTTGCAATTGTTTTGTTTTGTTTTCAGGCTGAACTTCTATGTAACATATATCGTTCTACCTAGCCGAGTTAGTAGGAGGCGGCTAGTATTCTACCAGTGTGATATACACTGAAAAAAGCTCGTTCAGTTTGTTTGGTTTTGACTATTAAAATGGGTATGATGAGATGTAATGTTAGGTTTCTGTATTGTTTATTTCAAACTGATCTGTCTTCCTTTCATGTGCACAAAAGAGTAAAAAAAAATGTATAAAATGAATACAGCTTCATCTAACATAAAAATATCTCTGGCAGTGCAATATGAACCTGTACGAAATGAAAATGTCACCAAACTCAGAAAGTGCTTTAAACACTTCTTTTACCAACATGTTTTTTTTCTCTGTTGCAGGGACGAAGTGTTAGTGATACTGAGGTTAAGGAGATTTGCTTCCAGATTCTTCGTGGTACGTACCACAGTAAAATCAACGATACTATGTATTGTTTGAGAAACTCTGTAAAAGTTAACCTTTATGCACTAAAGAGTGAGTGATAATGGATTCAAACATTCGCCATTATGACGAAATAACCTTTAATTTGGAAGGCAAAAGATAAAATACGGCAAACATTTTCCGGTATGCAGATAAGGTTATTAGCTATTCCTTTGCCCAATATCGCCAAACTTAAGTTGCATTTGATAGGAGTGAAAATTTGAAAAGACAAAATCACGAAATCAGTAAACGGTAAGAAATACAAACGCGAGTGCATCGACTTTTCATGTGTTGATTCAAAAAAAGCATTTTCTTATATTCAACCTTTATCTATACAATGCTAATGAGTCAAAATAGCTGAAATTGACAGTTTGCAATGCAAGACCATTTTAAAGAATTTTTCCAATTGCTAAAACGTATTCACAAAATATGAAGATATTAATTTTACTTTTGTCTCTGTGCTATTTGTATTAGTGTCCTGTTTTTGTTAATTTTGGATTCATGTTTGAGGTTAAAAATGTATTTATAATGTTGCAGAGAATATGGAGGAAATAACAGCGGACTTGAGAGGACCACCCGGTCTACCTGGTATTGGTAAGCCAGGAAGGCAGGGTCCACCAGGCAGATATGGAATTCAAGGTGTGTACTTCCTCCATTATACATAGAATCATTCTATTTCTCTCTCTCATTTAAAAGCTGTTTCCGTCAGCCCTTGTTGAACACCAGGATATAATCTGACAATGTACGAGAAATCGTGTTGCATTGTCCTAGTGGTGACACTTTTAGTGTGGTAATGGTACTATCAATTAGTTCAGGTGTTGCCCCATCGTCTTTGAACATTGTTTGCGTGTGACTTTAGTTTTAACGAGGACGCAAATCTAAAACCAATACAAGTAAGCAATGCTTGTAAACGTTGTTATGTAAAATACTGAGGGTTATTTTAATTCTTCACAGGTGAACGCGGACCACAAGGATCCGGCGGAGAGCGCGGAATGATCGGACTGCCCGGACTTCCCGGACCCCAGGGTATAGTGGGACCGTCGGGTGAGAAAGGACAGAAAGGAGAAAAGGGAAACACAGGCAAAGGACAGAGAGGTCGTCATGGAGAACCAGGGTCCCCAGGTAAGAAAAACGATCAAGTTTCGTGACTTTCTTTTAATTTTTGTCCGTCTTTTTCCTTTATCGTTGCTGTCGAGTCCTGCATTTCTGTAATTACTTTATTTTATTTTCTCCTTATTTAAAATTGCAAAGCAACTACATTATGGAAAAATATAATAACATTTTACCTTGCAGCCATGTTTCGTAGTCGTGTGCCAACTTCAAAAATGTTATTGTCCTCTTTTACCTGATCAAATAGGTTTCTCTGTTCTTTTCAATCGAGTTCTTCTTACCATGTTTTCCGACCATATGCTTGTTTAACTGTTTAGTATTCGTCTGCATTTTCCTGGTTTTGACCACGCGTCTTTGATGATTTCTTTCAGGCCCACCTGGTCCCACAGGAGAGGGAATTCAAGGTAGACCTGGAGACCGAGGATCTCCGGGAGTTTCTGGCATGCACGGTCGCCGAGGTGTGGCCGGACCTCCAGGACCCCCGGGCTACTGCGAATTCTGTAATTTTGCCGCTGGCACGGGGTCACAGCAGGGTCCGGAGTACATGACACTCGGCCAGGCCAATGGTATCAAGGGACCTTAGGAAAATCTCAATCAGTGACGATAACTTTGTGATATCACCTGTAGCTTTCATTACCATCAAAATACCTTGACCTTCCATATCGCTTCCATCCTGTCATCCCAAATTGCATTTATACCTCACGCCAACGCCTTTCTCTTTAAATAGTCCCAGAACAAAGCATAATATTTATCTTTTATTATTTCATTATAGCTAATAGATTTTATTGGTTTGTTTTGCTAAATAATATATGTATCTTTATTTAGCATTTCCCATTTTCCGTTTCTTCAAACAATATCCCCGCTTTCTCGCAAATCCCTCATATTCCATTAATCATTTATGTATGCAACTTTGTGTAATCATGCTCCGCATTTCTTCGTGTATCTTTTTAAACAGAACAGCTTATTTGCTGTATTACGGATGTTTATATTCAGCTTTATCAGTTTCTTATTTTCGCGTCTCTGCAGTTTTGTTTTTCGCCTTCATGCAGGTTTGTTTATTTCGCCTCCGTGTAGTTTTTGTTAATTTTGCCTTCATGAAGTTGCGATTGTTTTATTTGGCTTGTGTAGTATTGTTTTGTTTTCCCCAGTTTTTGTATTGCTGTTGTGCATTTTCATATATCTCAGAATGTAAAACCCAAAGAATTTTGTATTCATGAACTGTATATGTCTAGTAATTGTATTAGTGATAAAATACATTGCTGCGCCTAGGCTCCGCCCAAATAGATGTTTAAGCTCCACCCACATGGACACCTTAGCTCCGCCCAGATCGTTAGTGGCACCCATGGAAGCCTGCAATAGTTTGTTTCAATGTAATATGCTTTAATTCAAATACAATAAGCTAATACTAACAAAACTGCTCAAAGTTCAAAAACCGGAAATAATGTCTAATTTTATTCGACATAACAATCCTATTCCGGATAAAGATATTTTTTTCAAACAATTCAAAATACATAACTAAAAGCAAACTCTTCATTGAAATTAAGAATTCAATATAAATGGTATGTTACATAAATGATGGTGCGATAGGATTTGAAAAATGCTGTTATTTATTGGGTAACCCTTTTTTCTGTAGGTTAGTTGTGCTAGTAAATTTAAACCGAATCAAAAGGGTAATAGATGAAGTGCATCGCAATTTCCATTGGTGTGCTCGTACGTTTTCTGTGAAAACAACTTCGTTGGCCAGTATTGTAATGAAAACTGATTTAAATTTGACAATTTTCAACTACCATTTAGGTGTTAACACCTTAACATAAATACCTCATGAGTGTGTCGCATGACATGTTACGTCACAGGTTACATGTTTATAAACGTTCAACATGGATGCAAATAATACCTGCAATTGCGTGCCTTTAAATTAATTGTTTACTCTTTCAGTTTGTAAAAGTTGAATTTTCGTCAAGCAAAAACTATATATACTTATACACTCAGGGAAACTCGTCTGATATTGACAATCACACTCACTTCCCTTTCCATTGGGTATGGTGCACTTCCATTACTCTTAACACCACAACTCTTTCACAACCTCTTAAGCATGCTAATGAATTTCTGCGTTCCTGTTTAATATTGCATGTTCAAATAAAAGTGCCGCACTTATTCTAGCTTTTCTATATTATTTGTATGTTTGCGTTTCTTATCACTAAACCAACACGGGGTGTGCAAAACACCTTTAACATACTCTCCAACTTTATATACTCCGCTACTAACCCTCACTTTGGTGGTGATGAAATGCTCACTCCTAACGACAGGCTTTCCTGGTTGGGGTGTTGTTGAGGTTCCTATGGGTATTAAACCGTGCCGATCTCTCTTTGTGTGAAGTCTGTGAATTCTCGAGAAAGTCGAGAAATGGCGGACTAGACGTTATCCTTAATGTCGGTACAGTCACATTGTGTGCCCAAGGCACTTGCATAGGACGGTTACAGGTCGTTTTGTGATGATGGAATTGACATTTCCTGTAAGGTTGTGACTTGTCGGAATGTCTAACTTTTACTTCGACACTTGTGAGTTATAAAAAGGGTGTTATCAAATGTTTCTGGAAAAAGTGCCTTCGGTCAGAGAGCTACATGTTTCTGTATATTCTCTCCTTTCTGATCCCAGTATGTGTCCATTCACCCACGTTCTAGAAGCTGATCATCTATAAACACATCCACCGCGAGACAGTGTCAGTGTCACCATCCTCATTAGTCTGTGTGTGCTCGTGTATCATGTGATTTGTTGTTACCTATCTGTGTGTATGTCATGTACAATTGAGAAAATTTGTTTGTAAAATAAATCGGTGTATCAGAGCAGGTATTGTATGTCTAGGAGATACAGTGTGGTGCCTCGAAACGCGTCCTACAATGGGTGTAGTATTATATCATTGGTATTTTACCTTCTGTAGCAGTTCAGTTTCGGGGACGTTCCAGCTACCAATGTGATGTGAATGTAACACAATAACCAAGGTAAATAATCGGAACAATGAAGATGGAATAACTCCTTAATTCTAGCAAACAGTAGGCATTATCGTTTCGTTTTCTTGTTTGATTTTTATTTTGGAATATATTCTATAGTTCTCTGGTCCCATATTTACAGTCGTCTTTACCTTTGATGAGCATTTCAGTCTTTACATACCATGCATGTAATGTTGCTGTTGTTTCCAATTATTGGATCATAGAACTGTCTACGTGTATATCAACAGACAATCAATGTCCAAGATGACGCCTCAAATGAAAAGCAGATTGTAAATCTGGGACGAATCGTGAGAAGTTTATACATGCCAATGTATGTGACCCGAGAGATTGTTCAGATCAGACTTTTAAACTAAAATGTCGACAACAACACGGTATGATGTAGGTCACTGTTCAACGACAACATAATTTATATGTGAAGTGTCTATGTGTGATTTTGACGTAATAGTTACTTATCGCTTAAATGTACGTAAATATAATTAATGATATGAAAGTTGTATATATGCTATTTAAAAAGTATTCATTAAATTTATGTTCATAGCAATTAACGATTACTATCACTCGCATATTTAGTTTTTCAACGTGATGTTTAAATAACAAGAACCCTTTCATGACCAGAATCAGCTAGAATCCAAAACATACATACTTGTTGATTAATGTTTAGCTTAGGGACACTAATCCGTCATCCCCCCAAAAATATGTAAATACTATTTAAAAGTGATTTGATTTTGTAGTAAATAGATTTTAGATTATTAGATATAGTATTGTTTCATCGTTTGTCAACTTTTAACAGTAAATGATATTAAAGTGAAAGTGTTTTAACAACTTTTGCTTCAGAAATTGTGTATAACAAAATAAATGTGCTTTTTCTTACGTTTGAGTTTGCGTTATATCTGCTGTCATAGAACTTTACGATTACTGACATGGATTTGTGACACATTGTAATATTCAATGAGAGGTTAAAATTATCATGAGGAAATACTATTATATTAATGATTCTTTTAAATCAAATGTAACGTTATATTAACTAAGGACAAGTGAAATCCGCCTGCTCGTTTCAGATATAAAATGCAAAGTGAAATTAAGTGGGAAATTTTCGCTGCAGTTTTATTTTCGCCTCTTTTATGCGAATTGATTAATGCGAACTTTTGCCTTCGCAATATTTATAACGACAAATTTATCATGCCAGCGAATATAAGTACACAGTATTATACAGTAATTTATGTGAATGGCGAATTTTCATTGGGTGAAAGTGAACTTTACCAGTAAAGAGCAGATATTGGACTGAGCGAAAGTTTCCAGGTACATGTATACAGTAAATACTATTATCTAGAACCACTCAAATGTCAACAACAATAAAGAGACTGACAACAGGGAACACAACATGATCAGACTACAACATCAAAATCGGCGTCTGACACAGTTAACCAGACAACATCTGAGTGTATACTGTACTCTAGTAAAATATTGATTGTCACAGTGAACGTTAACCCTATAAGGAACTTAGTGGAACACGAGGTCCAATTAAGTGCTTAGCACTCTACAACTAAAAAGGTTAAAGGTGATAAGTGAGATATGTTAAATATTACAAATAGACAAATATGTGATGAAAGGGCATTAACTCTGTATATATTTTGGCATGAGACCAGATTTATGTACACGACACACCGTCATCAAAAAAGATATTCGCATACAAAAATTGGAAATTGTAGTTGACGGAGTATATGAGATATGCACCGGACAAAACTATGCATTATATATATAAAGGGCGTTAACTCTGTATATAATGGGGAACGAGACTCGATATCATTATTTGAAATTCCTCAATCTCAAGAAATACAATATGCCCTTGACAAAACGACGCACGGACGAATTGACAGACGAAATGCATTCCCACATTTCCTTCCTATAGTATTGGTCAGGGACTAATAATCAGAAAGACAGCGCAGACAAATCATTGGACACTGTAGTAGAAAACAGAATAATTTTCATGGAAATGCGATAATTATTGACATGTTGTGTTTCAGAATATTGTGTCCGAAATAGCTATCGACACAGGAAGTAGTCAGGTAAAACTTATAAATAGCAATCGGGAGAAGGACATCAAGAACGCCCTCCACCTCTGAACTAAAACAATAAAAATGTTAAAATCAGACGCTATTGAAAGGTGGTAATTTCCTACACAACAAGTGACACATATGATGTTTGCTGCAAAATGCAGAAAAGTTATACAATGTAAAAATAATGAATGATAACCTGCCGTAACCCGAGTCACCAAACCTAACCCCTCTGCCACTGCAACAAGAAAACTGATAAAAGCAGGGTCAGACTATGTAAATGTAAATAAAAGGAATAGTTTTTAGCCCACCATCAGCAGATGGATTACTTGACGGATCTTTCTCAAATTTTATTAAAAGGTTCCCCGTGCATATCGAATTTTGGGACTGATCACAAACCAATATGGCCGACAGACAGCCATCTTGAATTTGAGAGTTAAAGTTTGTTAACGCTATTTCTCAGAACTTGCTAGACGGATTTTTCTCAAATTTCAGTTAAAGGTTCCCAATGGTCCCTAGTTATGCATATCGAATTTTGAGACTGATCACAAACCAAGATGGCCGACAGGCAGACATCTTGAATTTAAGATTAAAGTTTGTTAGCGCTATTTCTCAGAATGTACAGGAAGGATTTTTCTCAAATTTCACATGAAGGTTCCCTATGAAACCTTATTATGCATTTTAAATTTTGGAGATGATTGGGACACCAAGATAGCAGGCAGGTGGCCATATTGAATTTGGGAGTAAAATGTTATTAATGGTATTGCTCAAAATGTATTGGAAGGATCTTTCTCTCAAATTTTAATGAAGAATTTTTTGGCAATATTGTCCCTTCAAATTGGTTTAATCACACCGGAGTAAAAAAAAGGAAAGTTTATTGGTTTTATTTAGATAAATAGAAGCCATGTCAGCTTATTTTGTATTCTGGAATAAGCCGGACGGTAATAGGACATTTAGTTGGTATCAACCATGGACCTAATCAGTGTTATACAAGTCCATGTTGTTTCAAATGTAATTTGACAGAGAACAATTTCTTACACTTGAGTTGTGACGGCTGTCATATTGAATACCAATATACCCAAAATAACACCCTTTCTTGACATTGAAAACCCTGATAGCCCTTCATTCAGCATAGCATGATATAGGCCTTATAGGCACAACTCTTGATTGTTTAACTTTGAAAGCAGGTCATTGTCATCAATGGAAATAATAACCATCTACCTTTATCCAACATTTAACATGCCAAACATTTGCTTTAAGCTTAAACATTAAACCCTTTTCACCTTGAAAATTGGTCGATTCATTTGAACAAACATGAATGCCCTTCAACCTAGCATCATTTTATGAAATGTTGATCAAAATCCACCAGCAAGTTTCATCAGAGATGTTTTTTTGAAGATTTTGCACAGTTACCCTATTTGGCTCCACCCCTCAGTCCTCTAGAGCAACAGCCCCTTCTTGAGTATAAATTTTGATCCTCATCACCTAAGAATCATTTCATAAGATGTTAGTGAAAATCCACAGGTAAGTTTCAGAAATGTTTTTTGCATATTTTGCACTCCCCGATCCTTTATAGCCCTGCACCTCATCCCCTAGTGTTGATGTCAGCCCCTTGAGTAGAAATGTTCATCCCCCTTATAGGTTGATAACAACCATCAAGTTTTGTCAAAACCTGACACACAGTTTCTGAGGAGAAGTCGAAAATATCATTGTTTATGGTTCTGAACTCAGTGACTCCATAAATATATGTTGCCCCACCCCTCAGTCACCTAGGGTGTCGATCCCTTATTAAGTATAAATTCTGATTCTCATCATCTGAGGATCCACAGAGATGTTTTTGAAGAGTTTGCACATAATGACCCTTTATAGCACCACCCATAATCCCCTGGGGTGTCAGCTCTATCTTGAGAATAGATTATGATCCATATCAAAGGCTGATGATTACCACCAAGTTTCACCAAAATCTGATTGATGGTTTCTGAGAAGTGGAAAATGTAAATAACTGTTTACAGACGACGACAGACGAAAGGTGATCACAAAATCATATGTGTGATAAAGAACTCCTGGAACTTAAGCAAGGACAATCAGAATTAATTTTTCAACAATTTTGATCATAAATCATTATGCAATTATGCTTATACATGTTACAGAGTCTGTAGAGAAGGGTTTTTACACAGTCCAGAGAGACAGTTATAATTATTTGTTCTACATTATCATAGGTCCCATACAATGTATGTGATGCAGGAAATGCACAGCTTTCTAGAGCTTCTAGTTTCGTCTCCGATTTTAAATCTCTCGATGTTGTCTTCATACTAACTTTAATTTGTCAAGGTGTATCAAAGCTGTAGTATTTAAACTCTATTTTCCCTTCCACCAGAAATAAACCTGGATGATGTGATATCGAAATGTTTCAAAATATGAAGTGCAAAACGATGAAAAATAACTTTTCTCCAAAATTTAACATAAAATGATGAAATCAGATTTATACGCTTTTATTACACAACAACTAGCACTCTCCTTATATACAAGATGACAGTCGCATACATCAGACATCACCCAGCTCCCATCAACTTTCCGCTTTACTATTCTGGTGCCTCTCCTTGTCGCTTAAGAAGTGTTTGTGAATGTATTCCTCTGGCCTGGAAATACACAAAATTAAAATTGCACAGACAGTATGTAAACAGAGGGTCACCTTCTACAAGGAGTCAGTACTATCCACTATTATTGTAGTGCTCTATCAGCTGTTCATGTTCTGTAAACAAAGTTAACAGTCATATGGGTGGTTAACATCTAGGACTGTTTTATAGCTATAGGGTACCAGTGTAATACAGATCTCTTTACTCCGAGTTATCTTTTAAATCTACCGACCATGCTTTAAGAAATTCCACCAAGTCAAATCAATTACCAATTATAATTATAAGCCATTAGATATTTGTCTTAACAGTGGTTGAATCTTACAACAGTAGACCCATTGAGACTGTGCTGCTTACCACTGTGAAATTATTCATTTTGACATCATTGTATGTGAAAATTACATGGATACAAAAACCAATGTTTAATTTCAACACAATGTTATATTTATTTTGATGTCCTTCGTAAAAAAATAGAATTTTTGCACACAAGCATGTTCAATGACCATATGTAAAGATAAAGTTTCTTTGTTAAACACAGGTAATTATGACAGACAAGCATGATCAGGGAAGCGGTATACACACCAGTCAAATAGTTTTGGGAAGTTTCTGATTTCCTCCTCGGTGTACTGGTCAAGCCTCTTTGGTACCGGCTGTATTTGTTTAATCTGGTCACAAACATTGGCTAAAATGTCATCTGGCACATCCTGTAAGGGTTCCATACACAGGCAATCAGTACAGATTTTGGATAAGGGCTTAATTTCAAAATAATTTCTGTTAGATATTGTACCGAAATGTGGGATGTACATATCCTCATTTTTTCCCTTGCAATTATAATCTCATGTTCAATACACGTAATATATATTAACAAGAATACCACAGGGCGGAACAATATACGCCCGTCGAACGCCATATAGTGTTATTTACTTTCTTACATTGAAATAAGATCTGCATCATTCAAAGAGTGGTTAGCTGACATGCTATAAAAATGTAGGAGAAAATCTCCGGATAAAAAAATCAAATACTGAAATGAACAAAGGGCAAAAACTTTTGCAAAAAACGTCAAATCAAACTTCTTTTCAAGGAAACACAAAAACATATGATTATTTAGCCTACTAAGTTTCAAAGAAATCTGTCAAAAAATGTAGGAGGAGATCTCCGGACAAAATAATCAAATTCTGAAATGAACAAAGGGCAATAACGTTTGGAAAAAATTGTCAAATCAAAATTCTTTTAAGGGAGACACAACTTCATATCATGATTATAATGTATACAAAGTTTCAAAGAGATCCGTTGAAAAATGTAGAAGGAGATTGCCGAACAAAAATCAAATACTGAAAAAAACAAAGGGCAATAACTTTTGAAAAAATTGTTGAATCAAAATTCTTTTAAGGGAGACACAACCTAGTTTCAAAGAGATCCATTGAAAAATGTAGGAGGAGATTGCCGGACAAAAATCAAATTCTGAAATGAACAAAGGGCAATAACTTTTGAAAAAATTGTCGAATCAAAATTCTTTTAAGTAAGACACAACTTCATATCATGATTATAATGTATACCAAGTTTCAAAGAGATCGGTCGAAAAATGTAGGAGGTGATTGCCGAACAAACAAAAGTTAACGTTGGACGGACGGACAACGCCATACCATAATACTCCCGTCAAATTTGACGGGCATATAAAAACCTGAAATGACCAACATCTATCTAGAGACTTCTAGTCTGGATACTTACAGACTCTATGTCCTCAAGTGTACATATACAGGTGCTCAAATCAATTGGCAAGTTCTACTTACATTTTTTTTAGATACTACCAGAGTGCAAAATAGTTTTGGTCAAATCAAAGATTTCAATTTTTAAATTTAATCTGCGGATGGCCCATCTATTCAAGCACCTGCATCTCTACCCATAAAAAAGCTACGAAAACCTCAAGGCCATGAGCTGATTTTGAGGTTGAAATATAACGCATCACAAACCAATTTTCTTCCATAACAGAAAAAATTGAAATCTAAACATTGCAACTTTTGAAATATGTTTTTATTTAATTGTTTTTTATTTCAGAGCTGACTGTCAAGGGATTGTAAAATCCTAATTTTGTCGGAATATATCTATGTATCTATATATAACTGCTCACTTTAGAGTTCCTCACTCACAAGGCATTGAATAAATAGCTGGTAAGGTGTTATTTAGTCTTATCATGCTGCCCAGATATTCACTTCGGGAGATTTTCATTACTAAGCATAGAGATTATTGCTTGGATATAAACTTAAATTGTACAAACTTACAAAATATAAAAGCAATACTAAATAAAGTTTTTATTGCGACATCATGTTACACTAAAGTTTCTCCCATAATGGAAACTTGTCACATCTGTTTACTGGTTTGTTTTGGTTTGGTTTAGTATTGTTTAACGTCCTATCAACAGCTATGGTCATTTAAGGACGGCCTCCCCTGTGTGCAAGATGCATGCGTGTAGTGTATGCGTGTGTGTTTTGGGAGGCTGTGATATGTTCGTGTTTGTCTCCTTGTCATAGCGCGGAACTGATGCCCACTTTATAGTGCTACCTCACTGAAACATACTGCCGAAGACACCCAGCAGGTCACCCCACCCGGTCACATTATACTGACATTGGGCGAACCAATCGTCCCACTCCTAAATTGCTGAGCGTTAAGCAGGAGTAGAAACTACCAATTTTACAGACTCTGGTATGTCTTGGCCAGGAGACAGAACCCAAAGCCTTCCTCACAGGGCGAACGCTCAACTCAAGACCAAAAGTGAGGCATTGCCAAGGGAGACATTAGGAAGAAGAAAGTTGTTTAGAAAGGAGAGAAAAGATAAGATCCCAAATTTAGTCACCTCTTATGATCATGCAATGGGGGCAGCAGGTACAATTCTTACGCCCTACCTGCAGGGACAGTCTGTTTACTAAGTGTATCATTCTTTTTTTTGAGGAAACTGCCCATTTTTTATCCTTTTATGATATCAAATATAGAATTTTAAAAACAGCAAAGTTCCTAGGTTATTACTTTTTACTTAAATCCAATAACTCCATTTCTTAGAACAAAGTAGAGCTTAAACTGTGTCATTTACACTATTATTTTGTCAAAGTAGAGCTTAAACTTTCTTTTGTCAAATAATGGTCACTGAACATGTAGTTTTCCCCAGATGTTTAGATAATACTGAGTGCTTTGTCAATTTCTCCCCCATGAAAACTTTGAAAGGGTATGAAAAAAGTTAAATTATAGGGAAAATGGTTTACATAAGGATCCCTGTCCCACTGCGCTATGCTAATTTCCTATTTACATGTATAACGATACAGTAACCTCCCCTTAACTTCCGTTTGGATACAATGTATAACTGTAGAACAGTTTTGGCAGAACGCTTCCGATGACCAGGTTCATTTGTAGCTCATTTGGTTAGATGGACAGTATAACAATCTGAAGTGTGGGATTCAGATGCTGGCCTGGCTCCACCAATGTTTTACACTCAAAACACTGTAATTGTCTATATTTGTTTATTCCAGCTTGATCATATTCCTCATTAATGTTCTGTAAGGTATGGTTTTCTTTTCAAAAATGATAAATCAGTTTCCAACACTTAGTAACAGTTGTTGGAAGTGGTACGGGGACCCTTAAGTTAACTACCTACTTTGTGATAGATACAGGCAACTTCCATTTCTTACTGAAAGTCCTGTACATTTGTTGATGCTTTTCTACTAGACATACTGGTAAGGTGAATATCATAAGAGAAAATGTCCCCTTACTTGTAATACCAGCTTACTTTGTTAATACAAATCTCATTAGATAATTTTAAACTTGTAATATAGATACAGTAAAATGTTGTGTGTTTTAACATTTTTACCAACACATGCTAACCAACTGTTACTCTATTGAGAACACTTGATCATGTTTAACTGCCATCCTGTTCGGAGTTCCTTTTATCATCCTGTTCGGAGTTACTTTTATCATCCTGTTCGGAGTTCCTTTTACCATCCTGTTCGGAGTTCCTTTTATCTTCCTGTTCGGAGTTCCTTTTATCCTCCTGTTCGGAGTTCCTTTTATCCTCCTGTTCGGAGTTCCTTTTATCCTCCTGTTCGGAGTTCCTTTTATCCTCCTGTTCGGAGTTCCTTTTATCAGCCTGTTCGGAGTTCCTTTTATCAGCCTGTTCGGAGTTCCTTTTATCATCATGTTCGGAGTTCCTTTTATCATCCTATTCGGAGTTCCTTTTATCATCCTATTCGGAGTTCCTTTTATCATCCTGTTTGGAGTTCCTTTTGTCATCCTGTTCGGAGTTCCTTTTACCATCCTGTTCGGAGTTCCTTTTACCATCCTGTTCGGAGTTCCTTTTATCAGCCTGTTCGGAGTTCCTTTTATCACCCTGTTCGGAGTTCCTTTTATCATCCTATTCGGAGTTCCTTTTATCATCCTATTCGGAGTTCCTTTTATCATCCTGGGCGGAGTTCCTTTTATCATCCTGTTCGGAGTTCCTTTTATACTGTGTGTATGTGTCAGTGATGCCAACTACATGTAGTTATATAATTAACAATTAAACATCCTCAAAGCAATTAAGTCACCTATGTTGAGTATGTAGATATTTAATATACCTTACTCGTATGCTGTAACAGTTATATAACTACTGCCAAAACTGAAGTTAAAGACCACCTTCAGAAAGCCTATAAAGTAGATTTTATAATAGGGAAAATGAGGCACTTTATTGTTAGGGGAAGCAGCCTGCATTGGAGAAAAACTAGGCAACAAAAATGTCACTATTAACAGAGGTGGTCAGAGTAGGTTTGCCGTAGCTACTCATGTATGAAAACAGTTATATCGAGAGATGTAGACATACCTCTTCTGGAAACAGATGAAGCCTCCTTAGCAGGTTTGGCCGAGATAGATTTGATGGCATGACAGTCTTCACCGTCCTTTGTAAGATCTGTTGATAGACACAAGCCAAGTTGTTTCTTTTAGGACAAATAATTGTACTCGCTACACTGTCACAGTTAGCAGCTTTTATTTCAGCAAGGTAAACATATTGATAAACACATTAATGTGCACTTAATGAATAATCACACAGCATTATATTCATCAAACTCATAGTTTATGAACCCGAGAGAGATTATAATTATGTTACTGTACAGAAGCTCCTGTGGATAATACAAAAAAGTAACATCTTTGTACAAATATTCACCACAATTAAAAAACTATGAATATCATTATATTACACTGGGAACATTTAAAGCGGTCTTTGGACACTTGTTGGTCTCTTAATAGAGGTGGTCTCTCCAGCAGGGTTTTAAATTTGACTGTATATTCATACATGTCAAGTAGCTTATCAGGTACCTGACATACAATAGCTTCAACTAGTAATCTTTTCAAAAAGCTACCTACAGTCTAGCTCTTTCAATACAAAATTGTACACCCCAGCTGGCTGTACTTAAATAAGTGCATCATTAAGTCAGTAAAAATGCTATTACAGGTAACACTAAAACTATGTTAACTGTATGTCTTTGAGACTTGTAACTGGCAATGGTTCAAACAACACAAGTGGGGATTTTCTAACATTTTGAACATGAATACACTTTAATAGAATAAAAAAAACTTGGGACCCCCTTTATACTAAGGTAGGTACTGCTGTTGTTGAATTGCTATATATTTACAATTACCATCCTCTATATACATCTGAGGTTAATAAAATGTTGCCAAAATAGAATGGTAGGAAACAGCATTCTTTACAGATACCAGTTTCAGGACTGTTAATTCTATCAGCCAGTGCCAATCATGCACTTTGTAAGTAACAGGCCAGTGAAATGGCTTTTGATGTATATATATACATGCATATCAAAACTATGAACCTTATATAGCTGGTTGGACCACCTGTTGCCAAAGTTAACTGGCCTATATTGGGCCTTCTTAATGGTTAACTCTTCTACCCCAATATATGGGGTGGTAGTAATTGCACGTGAGGGCAATATTATAAGGTTGTCAAATTTTCTGAACAAATGAAGATGACAATACTGACCTGGGTTGGATCCATGTCATGAAGTCTCCAGGCAGCTGTCATAGAATGACCCTTGGGATAGCTGCAATCACCATAAACCAAGGTGTTTTAGAATTTCCATTGATAACAAGCAATACATTGCAATGTATTACAAGCACTCCATAGAGTTTCATTGCAGAACAAACTTTAGTATCAAGAAGAATGAATATAAAGTGTAAAGTGGGGCATGAGAAAAGATTTTAATACATAAAAAAAAACATCCCTACAGGTTCAATTGATACTATTTAATATTTTGAATCATATATCAGACCACAGATTTACATATCTAAATATTCAGCATGTAAAAAACTGTGATCATAGCCACTTCCACTGAGGTCTGGAAATAAGATTTCATACAGTGAATTTTCCTACCACAAATGTGTTTGATATCGTGTGCCCCCCTCACCCTCCTTTGGTCATATACTTGTCAAGATAGCTAGAGTCTGAATAGTTTACATGATGAACAGTATTGAACACTGCAGCTCTATGGTCCAAGATATATTAAAAAAAAGAAATAGTAGAATGGATCACGCCTTTGAACTACAGTTCTCGCATCTTTGCCATCCTATCGGTACTCACATACACGAAAATTGGCAATGGTATGTGAAAAAGTATATGAGATATGCCCAGGACAAAGTGAAGCAAGGATTGACTGACGCGTCTTATTTTCCTCATGAGATTTTTTGCTTTGTTTCTGTGAAATGCTGCTGTAAATTCTTAAACCTTTCCAAATAGAGGTTTACTACCTTAATTAACAAGAATTACGCGTAATTATATGTGTCGCCTGTCCTGCTTTGTCAATATAATAAGCATTTGACATAGTACATAAGGAAACGGACCTAAACGCAAAATCATAACATTGATTTTTTTAAAGTCCCAAAATTTCAGGTTTTTATCCGAAAAAGTGCAGAAATCCATGAAATGTTTTCAGAGTAGTTAGGCTCTACTACCCATGATACATGTATGATTGAGGTTTGGTTGGTCTAGCTCTTATACTTTGTGAGAAATAGCCAAATATGCAAGAGCTAAACGCAAAACCTTAACGTTGAGTTTTTTTCTAAGTCCAGCGATTTGAGGTTTTTAGCAAAAAAATACAGAAATCGTTAAAATGCTAGTAAAGATTGTAATGCATTCAGCTATACATCCCTTGATACACCTATGACCTAAGTTTGGTTGCTCTAGCATTTATACTTTGTCATAAACAGCCTAATATGTAAGAGCTAAACGCAAAACCTTAACGTTGAGTTTTTTTCTAAGTCCAGAAATTTGAGGGTTTTACCAAAAAAATGCAGAAATCAATGAAATGTTTTTAGTGCAGTAGGCTCCACTACTCATGCTACATCTATGATCGAGGTTTTGTTGGTGTAGCTTTGTCAGAAACAGAGCTAAACGCAAAACCTTAACATTGTTGACGCCGCCGCCGCCGTCGGAAAAGCAGCGCCTATGTGTCTTTCCGACATCCGTCGTAGGCGACACAATAAAATGATACCCTGTGTAAAATATGTTTTTAGCATTAGAAGTGGTAAATATTTACATTGCCTTTTGTACAGTAAATGGAAATGACTACTTTAGTAATTTTACCCTGTGTGATGGTGAAATCTGTATGTCCTCCATGCCTCGTGCCTCATAGCAATATGCTTGGTGTTTATTACCACAACATGGTCTCCAATATCACCTGCAACCAAAATGCCAAGGAATGATAGGGGGAATACTGCCCGACTGGCAAGCTAGCTTTTTTGGTGATGAGGTATAACACACTTGAAGTTGTTCCACAACATGGAGTATGGTCAGTGGCTGCATGGGTGCCTGCCCAACAATAGCATAAGGTGACAGGGAAGTGACAGGGAAGTGACATTACATATTCATGAAAATCAAAAAAATGATGTGGTTCCTACAGACTGAATAGCTATTTGTTTTTACAATGATACATGTATTATTATTTGAAATTGGGATTAGTTGATTTCCTGAATTTTATGTGAAAAGGTCAACATTGATCGAAGACATAGCTTAAAATGTAATAGAGTCAATACATTGTAGTGTGTACTTTAACTTTAATACTAAAGAAAATAAAACACAAATTGGTATAGATAAGTACTTATTGAAACTTGGTCGTTCACTGAGGAAGGATACACACGAAGCTAAAAAACTATTAATTCAGCAAGTTACCCAATTAACAATGACAACAGAATATTTAGGACTTCACAGGATTTCAGAAAATCAGGGGTTATGTTATAGACAGGTGTCACTTATCAAAGTAATATATATGCTTTTATTTTTGAAGATATTTGATGAACTAAAAGTAAGATTTTGAGATTTGTTCAACTCTATGATCACATACCATGATATTATAAATGACTATTGCACATCTCTAACACAATCTGAAGCTTACCGGGTAAATTGTTAGTGTAGTGGTTTATATGATCAAGCAAAAGATAACAAAGTTTGAAGATTATGATCATCTAGCAATTTAGCCTCATCTGGAAGAAGGGACTGATCTTTCCATTATGACTTCATAAGACATGTAAACATGAGCAGTTACAAGTAATTACATGTATATCATCAAGAGTTGCACTGGAGTTTGACATTATATCAATAAAATATTAAAGTCTAAATGCAAAGCATTCCCTATACTATACAAAAAGACAGTTTAGGGAGTGGTTTTTTTCCATCTAGGATGTTAGATATAGCATCAAACTCTTGTGACAGTCAGGTACTGGAGCCCATCCACCCGGCAAATCTGGATATAAAGGCAGATTTGGCTATATAGTCAAGCACTCACGCTGATTAAACATTTGGTGGACAAACAGGTAAGTCAGTAAAACAAAAGGTTTTTATCTAATAATTCAATTTCTGTTGACTTCGTTGATTTCCATCCTTGCAATTTTTGGTACATTGTACTAGCATAGATCTTTCATCCTCTGTATCTGATGGTTACACAGGAATAAAAAAAAAATTGTACCAAGCCGCAAAATATTTCACTTCCTCTCGGTATTTAGCAACTTTCACTGCATGTTATCATTCCTACTCGCCAGTACTTTGACGTATCTTCTGAAAGCACAACTGATGCACAAATCTGCATCTTCAAATGCGTATCTTCAGGAAGTCATATGCATTGACCGATATTGAATATACTCTATACTTTTATACTAATAAGGAACACATGATGACAGGAAAAGAATGCAACGATGGAAATTCACCAAATCAATTAAAATTGTGTAATCTGACACAATTAAAATTGTGTAATCAGACAGACAATAAACTTTTATTTCACCAACTCACCTATTTGTCAACAATTTTATCGACGTGAACGAGATAAATATTACCATTAAAGGGTTGTTTGTTTACATTTGTCCTTTATACGGATAGTAATATTTGACTACATAGCCAAATCTGCCTATATAGCCGGTGCTGAAGTACCTGACAGTGTACACCAACAATGTTAGAGGTTAAACGCGGCGAGATACTGTTGACAGGCGCCACATAACAGTCGCAAAATTCATATCCAATAGAAAAACGGCCGACCAGGCAGCGGCTTCTTAAGTTATAGGAGGACTGACAGTGCTGATAGTTGTTGTAACAAATAGCACATACACACATATATGTATACAGGTCCAGCACACTCTGCCGATTGAGCTTTATAGGTGTAAAGACCTATAATAGCTCTATTGACCTATCTGAAATAGGTCTTTTGAGTGATTTTCAAGTGATTTTCTTTTTTAAGGAAAACGAAGCAAAGTCAATTTTAAAAGAAGATTGTATCATTAGGTTGATAACAAAAGACATTAATATAAGTATTCTTTTTTTTTAAAAAAATAAAAAAAAATCGGAAATTTTACATTTATGAAAAATGAACATAAACATCGAACTGTATGTTTTTTGTAGTCAACATTACCATATACCTTATTGTTTTATGCGACTTTGCTTTAATTTAATGAAATTTGAAATCTGAAAAAAATATAGCTCAATACAGCTATAATTTATGGGTGAATATTGCTTTATAGGTCTTTATAGCTATATAGCTCAATCGGCAGTGTACTGGACCTGATTTATATACTGTATTTGTGTATCACTTACTGAGAGGATGGTAGATAGGTTTGTGATGACCTTGGAGGTATTTCGCGATTTTTCTGGCTGATTTGAACACACACTGATGATTAGCATCATATAACCACCAAACCCTAGAAAACGTGTTCCATTGCTGAAAATATAAATAAATTACAGTAACACCTTCAGTCGACTATGATGATCATGCAACTGCTTTCTTTTTAATTTGTGTTGAAATAGAAATCAATACACAGTTAAAGATTCCATAGAACAACGCAATATACTCACAATCACTCTGTTATTTGCCATTATCAGATAATAACTTAACTTGACATGAGCAACCTTCAAACCATGCTCACCGGATGTAATGGAAATATACATCCGGGAAGATAACTCTTCTTTCTAAATTCATCATAAGTACCGTAGTTCCCCTTTAAAACGTTTTTTTTTCTATTTTAAAGTGTTAGATTTAACTGTTGAAGGTTTAACTTAAGAACCTTAACACTTAACTTTACCTCAAAAACTCTCCTTCTACATAAAAAGAAGCAGGGAATATCAGTTGTAATACTACAGAAATGGAAAAAGTTTTATATTTACATCTGAGTACAACATGAACATGAACAAATTCTAATCATCAATGTCACATCACTTTTATAACTGAGGACCACTAGTCAGATCGTATAGACCTCAGTTCTGTGATACCAGGAGTAAATGGAACACCAAACGTTGAATCACTCAATTGGTCTATACTCCAGGATTAATGAAAAGGAAACATATAATTGTAACGGGAATTGTAATTGGAATAGTGTGATTCCACCGGGGATCGAACCGGGGATCGAACCCTCGATCTCCAGGTTCCTAGTCGGACGCTCTACCACTGAGCTAAAGGGAAATTCCCTCTAGATTCGAGCTAGAAGGCGACCTTATAATTAATCCTATGTACAGTTGAATCCTGCCCTATGTGCAATAATCAACCAGAAACTAGACAACATGTTATTGCTCAGTGTTTGAGCTCAATTGATATTCGAGCCAGGTACGTCGCAAAACTCAACTCAATACTCGACGATAAATTACCGATTCGGTGTGAAGAAGAAATCACTTGGATCACAATCAACCGAAGACAATTTTTCAAGGCTAAGAACATATGTGTCAAAAAGGACGTAGACTGTGCAATCCTGCAAACCTCCAGGAACTATCTATACGCGCTACACATCAACAGACTTAACAACCAATGCAAGGGCTCTCCAATAGTATAGCAACATAACCCTAAATTACACCCGCAAAATTTCTCGATAACAGGTTCAAGTTGACATTTTCTTCTTTTTTGATAGATAAAGCTATTTAAATGAAGTATATACTCAAATTGCAAGGAGCCATAATAAAGCACCAAGGAGCTGAGCCGACCTAATACGGCTGGATCAACAGATACAGATACAGAATGATGCTGATTATGGCACAGGGACCTGAGCATTTGTTACAGCTATATTAATTCATGTTTTAGGGGTTTAAATCGACTTTCGGTAAAAATAACACTAAATGATACATTAAATTGTTGAAATTAAATTGAGGATTTTGTGTTTATTTTCACGAACTACATGTATATTTTTTGCTGGGAACGGTCGCGTGTACTCGTGACGTCACAATAACAGGTCCCATTGACAGACAGCGCGAACTTTGACTTTGAAATGCGATAATAGGTTGGAAATATAAGAAAAACTTAAATTAAAAACGGAAATATAAGTATCAAACTGAGTGGGGTCGTGCTAGTCCCCCGTCCCGTGTGTCTATCGCTATTGGTAAGGTTGCATTGCGTTAACAGGAATGTCTGACGCTTAGCTTTGTTATCCATCAATTACTTGCTGTAATGTTTTATTAATTTCTTCTTACTGGACCGTGTCTTTCTTACGATCTCACGTCTTGTTTGTTACATTACAACTCTAGACACATTGACTCTAATGAAGTATGCTATATTACCGTAACCGTATCTCATTCCCAGGAGAAGTTAAATGATCGAAGGACCCGTAAAAATGTTTGTTATGAATGGAAACCTAATTTGTTTAAGATAAGCTTAGTTGATACAAAGGTTCCCAATGAAGCAGGTATAGATATGACTGATTCGACCTTTGTATTAGCGACTGCCGTTCAGACAAGGGAGGTAATTTTAACTGTCTTTTTATGTCTCTTTAATTTTAAAGGTTACAAAGACAAGGATAAATAACCACAGAGAACTAAATGCATCTAATCAGACAGATAGATTATAGTTTTAAAAGTAACATGAGATTTTAAATGCAATGTTTACTTCTAAACTAAAACCAGTTCCACCAGATCCACCTACATATCCTTAAATTTCAGCTTAATTTAAGTAATAGATTAAGCAAATTCAATGATTTTACCATAAATTTCTAAATGCCTGTCACATCAGAAAAGATCTCTTAACACCCGCTATCCTAATGATAAGATCGGATAAAATTAAAGTGCAACAGGCCCATAGCTGGTAGTCATAATATCGTTAATCTTTCTGCAAAAGTTTCTCAGAAGTTATTTCAAGCAAACCGTTTGTTGCCATTCCTTTAAACAATGTCTAACTGATCACACGCTCTGTTGGAACTAATTGTTGGCACTCCTTTAACCAATGTCTATTTGATCACACCCTCTGTTGACATTCCTTTAACCAATGTCTTTTTGATCACACCCTCTATTGGCACTCCTTTAAACAATGTCTATCTGATCACACTCTCTGATCAAACCCTCTGTTGGTAGTCCTTTAACCAATCCCTATCTGATCACACCCTCTGTAATACCTATCTGATCACACCCTCTATGTTTATCTGGTCACACCCTCTGTTGGTACTCCTTTAACCAATGTCTATTTGATCACGCCCTCTGTTGACAATCCTTTAACCAATGTCTATCTCATCAAACCCTCTGTTGGTAGTCCTTTAACCAATGCCTATCTGATCACACACTCTGTTTGCACTCCTTTAACTAATGTCTATCTGATCTCACCCTCGGTTTGCAAACGATTAACCAATGTCCATCTGATCACCCCCTCTGTTTGCACTCCTTTAACAAATGTCTATCTATCACATCCTCCGTTGGCACTCCTTTAACCATTGTCTATCTGATCACACCCGCTGTTGGTACTCCTTTAACCGATGTCTATCTGATCACACACTAGGTTGGCACCCCTTTAACCATTGTCTATCTGATCACACCCACTGATTGCACTCCTCTAACCAATGTCTCTATCTGATCACACCCTCAGTTGGCACCCCTTTAAGCAATGTCTATCTGATCACATCCTCTTTTGGCACACCTTTAACCAATGTCTATCTGGTCACACCCTCTGTTGGCACTCCTTTCACACCCTCTGTTGGCACTCCTTTTAACAATGTCTATCTGATCACATTCTCTGTCTGCTCTCCTTTAACCAATGTTTATCTGATCACACCCTCTGTAATACCTATCTGATCACACACTCAGTTGGCCCCCCTTTAACCAATGTCTATCTGATCACACCCTCTGTTTGCACTCCTTTAACCAATGTCTATCTGATCACATCCTCTGTTTGCACTCCTTTAACCAATACCTATCTGATCACACCCTCTGTTTGCACTCCTTTTACCAATATCTATCTGATCACACCCTTTGTTGGCACTCTTTTAACCAATGTCTATCTGATCACACCCTCTGTTGGTAGTCCTTTAACCAATACCTATCTGATCACACCCTCTGTTTGCACTCCTTTAACAAATGTCTATCTGATCACATCCTCCGTTGGCACTCCTTTAACCAATGTTTATCTGATCACACCCTCTGTTTGCATTCGATAAACCAATGTCCATCTGATCACACCCTCTGTTTGCACTCCTTTAACCAATGTTTATCTGATCACATCCTCTGTTGGCACTCCTTTTACCAATATCCATCTGATCACATCCTCTTTGGGCACACCTTTTACAACTATCTATCTGATCACATCCTCTTTGGGCACACCTTTTACAAATATCTATCTAATCACATCCTCTGTTGACACCCCTTTAACCAATGTCTATCTGATCATATCCTCTTTTGGTACACATTTAACCAATGTCTATCTGATCACACCCTCCGTTTGCAATCGATTAACCAATGTCTATCTGATCACACCCTCTGTTTGCACTCCTTTAACCAATGTCTATCTGGTCACACCCTCTGTTCGGACTCCTTTAACCCATACCTATCTGATCACACCCTCTGTTGGCACTCCTTTAACCAATACCTATCTGATCACACCCTCTGTTGGCACTCCTTTAACCAATACCTATCTGATCACACCCTCTGTTGGCACTCCTTTAACCAATACCTATCTGATCACACCCTCTGTTGGCACTCCTTTAACCAATACCTATCTGATCACACCCTCTGTTGGCACTCCTTTAACCAATACCTATCTGATCACACCCTCTGTTGGCACTCCTTTAACCAATACCTATCTGATCACACCCTCTGTTGGCACTCCTTTAACCAATACCTATCTGATCACACCCTCTGTTGGCACTCCTTTAACCAATGTCTATCGGATCACACCCTCTGTTGGCACTCCTTTAACCAATGTCTATCTGATCATAACCTCTGTTGGCAGCCCCTTTACCAATGTCTTTTTGATCACACCCTCTGTTTACACCCCCTTCACCAATGTCTATCGGATCACACCCTCTGTTGACACCCCTTTTACAAATGTCTACCTGATCACACCCTCCGTTTGCAATCGATTAACCAATGTCTATCTGATCACACCCTCTGTTTGCACACCTTTAACCAATGTCTATCTGATCACAACCTATGTTTGCACCCCCTTTACCAATACCTATCTGATCACATCCTCCTTTGGCACACCTTTAACCAATGTCTATCTGATCACACACCCCGTTTGCAATCGATTAACCAATGTCTATCTGATCACACCCTCTGTTTGCACTCCTTTAACCAATGTCTATCTGATCACAACCTCTGTTTACACCCCCTTCACCAATACCTATCTGATCACATCCTCTTTTGGCACACCTTTAACCAATGTCTATCTGATCACACCCTCTGTTTGCAATCGATTAGCCAATGTCTATCTGACCACACCCTCTGTTTGCACTCCTTTAACTAATGTCTATCTGATCACACCCTCGGTTTGCAATCGATTAACCAATGTCCATCTGATCACACCCTCTTTTTGCACTCCTTTAACCAATGTATAACTGAGCACACCCTCTGTTTGGACTGCTTTAACAAATGTCTATCTGATCACACCCTCTGTTTACACCCCCTTCACAAATGTCTATCTGATCAAACACTTTGTTAGCACTCTTTTAAACAATGTCTAGTTGATCATATCCTCT